TCTCAACGTACCTGTCATAACAGCAACTCGATAACCAATAATCATGACATATAGTTCTATTTGTGACGATATATATATATAATCTACAATAAATTCCATAATAATCTCGAATTACCTGGGGCAGGTCACATGTGGATACATCTCAAGACTGCTACCCTTTTTAAAACAAAGAAAAAAGAGGATAAAAAAAGGGGAGAAAAAGTGTATCACACCGTCGAGTTTTCTCAACTGCTGCTGGTCGGACCTAGGCCCAGGAAGTGAACGTTTGTTTTCTTTGTTGTGCAAATAAAAGACGTCTCTTTGAATTTTTTTTTTTTTTTAATCGAAGTGGTAGCCCCTGATTTCATCAGGATTCGGACGCTTGGTCTGTTTATCAACAGTCACATTTGTACGGTGCACCGAGGTGAGGCAGTTTCGTGAGGAAGGCCTTGAGGTAAGTGGTGGGAAAGGACAGAACTTGGAAGATCCATCTTAAACATTCACTTCTTCCGAGCCTCTTTTATCGTTTCAGGGTCCTGAGTCCCGAAAGTTGTGGCAGGTGTATACCCGTCATGGAACAAAATAGCAGGGCCAAGTACTGGGGGTTTAAACCACCAGTACCCACCCAGCTACTCGTGAGAGAATGCGCCAGGTAACGCGGGACTGCTGTCAGGTTCGGCCTATAGGAGTGGAGTCAACCGATCTGCAATTAGTGATCATGGACCAATGTAACTGTTTTTTTTTAATTTGAAACTTGGGGCGAGCTTAAACCACCAGTTCCTTGGGACATCTCTTCCTTGATGCTCAATTTTGCGGGCCCTTGGTCTTCTGACCTGTCGTGGGGCAAAGGGGTCTACCAGGGGCCACCAGCCATTTGGCTCTGGTAGGTTGAGCCTGACCTTGGTTCTGAATGAACCGGTGCAGCGCTGTGTGGTAGCTGGGATAGTAATCGTCGTTGAACGAAAATAAGGGAGAGGAAAGTGAAAGAGGAAAGGTGAGGGAAGCTGGTCCATTTCCTCCTACCGTATTCACCCCCATAAGATGCTCCAATTACAGCTGTAATGACCATACATTGTATTCAGGTGAAGACGGTAGCAGCCTCATGCCCTTGGTGGTTCTTGTTGTATGCGGGATCCTGTGGGTCGCTGGGCATTCAGTTCAGCCTATTTTTGTTGTCCACAAGAGGCACGTCGCTTTCTTGGAGCGCTATGCCCCACTTGTGGAATTCTCTGCTTAGTACAAACATGGTTTGAAACAAGTCTAGGTTTACATTACGCTGGAGGCTTTGATTAGCGATCGTTTGATGGGGGGCTGCTCTAGCTCTAGTCCCTCCGGCTAGACTAGCACCGGGGAGGGGAGCTCCTCGGTTGCTAGGCCTGTGCACGCACCCGACAGAAGTGCGTGGCTCCTTTTGCCATGTGGCATCTGTTGTCTGCGATGTGGACGCCGCAACGCGTGGGCAGGGGTAGTGCCAGCTGTGAGATCGACGATGAAACGCAATAGGGGCGCAGCTTTCCGGGTAAGTGATGGAGTTGGTGGGGGAGCTACAACGTGGAGTATTTTGGGTGGACGATATTCTTTTCGACAGTGAAGATGATGTCTCGCCTGCACAGGATGGGGAAGGTGGGCAAGATGAAGAAGACGTTTTTTTTTTTTTTTTTTTTTTCAATGAAAAAAGGGGCCCAATGCCCAAGGCTTGTATTGATATTTGAGAACATTGAGGCTGGGGTCCTCACAGTCTACCCGGAGTAACCAACATATGATGATGAGGATGATGAGGATGATGATAAAACTGATGATTTTCTGCTAATCGGAATCATGATCTGACCAGTCACACTCTTAAGTACTAGCCAATAAGGAAGAGTGATCAGGAAGGCTAATCAGAATGTTCTCTACTCAGAACTACAACATGGAACCCTATCCTGATTCCAGGTATTTCTACCAATTCCAGCAATTGTCATCTGATGTTGTACTGTGTATCAATCCCACCTCTACCCAGTCTCACACCCTCTATTTAGCTAAGTTACAGGGCAGCGCTACCTGCCCCAGCTCCGATCATTGTCGGCAGGATTGTTACCGCCGGTCAAATTAGTGGACTGCCTTCCTCCCTCAGCAATCCCCAGATCTCTCTACAAGACCTCAAGCTCCTAGTAGTTTAGGTTACAGGGCGATGCCCCAGCACCGGTCAGCGTCGTTCTGGCATCAACTCAACCTAGGGAAGTGCACATTCACAACTCATTCAGACAATCAGCAAAATTGATAATAATACCTAAAAATAAAAGATTTGATTTAGTTGAGTCCTCAGCAGATGACGTATCTGATGAGGGTGGTGATGATAATGATTGACATCAGTAGATATGGATTCTATTCCTCTTCCCCCCACTGTTCCTTCTTGCCCCTTGTTGCCTCCGCTGAAATGAACCTCCCTGATGAGTAGCCTTTTTTCAGCCCCAACCTGGGACAGTCCCTCTTACAGCCGTACTCACCATTAGGTCCTATCATTCCCCCCAAAGTATGACCCGATCAAGCTGTTGCCCTAATCTGCCACCGCTGGATTATCAGCCCCAGATTAGCGCAATCCCCATCTACTTCCACTCCTAACAGAGCATCACTTCCCACCTTGCGATGCCCTTATAGAGTTTCAGTTTTCCCCACCTTTCCCACTTACCTTCTCTCATATTCTAATGAAACGCAATCAGAGGAATTTTTTGACAAACCTAACGATGTAGATGCTGCTGCTTTTGATGATGATATTGATGATGATGACCCTTGATGTAGATTCAACTTCCCCTCTCCTCCCCTGCCTCTTCCCCCTCTTCCTCTCCTCCTCTCTTTGTGCTGCCCCCGCTGAGCGGAATCGATATGCAACCAGTTAAATTCCCTCAGCCCCAGCCAGAGAAAGCCATCTCCGCTTCCTTTACTCCCTTGAGTAATCAGTTCCCTCCACTGATTATCTCAAGCTGCCTGTGCCCTAATCTGCCACCGCTGAGATCTTCCCCAGCCCCAAACTAGAACGCTCCCCCTTGTCTGCTTGTACTCCCTCGAAGGTTAGCACCTCCTTCCTTGCGCTTCCTTTGTAGAGTAGGGTTCGCCCCTCCTTTAATCCACTTACCTTCTCGCCAGATCTGACTCTAAAGCCTGTGAGGAGAAATCAACTAGTTAGATGATAATGACGAAGAATACTAAATAATGATTTATAGACAGATGATGGTGATGATGTCAGAATGACTCTACAGAAAATTTAGCGAGGGAACCCCTTGGGAAATTGTATTTCAAAAACGGGTGTGAAATTCAATGCCGTAATGATAGATTGGATTTAGAGCAGACACAAGTTTGCTCTGTGGAAGATGGCGTCCTGCGCTGAAGATAATTAGTAAGAATAATTAATATTGGGGTTTATATTGACGAAGTCAATAATGGTGATGACGTGGCAAAGATTAATAAATTAATGAATATGTGTCGCAAAAGATGAATGTGAATATGTGTCGCAGAAGATGAACGTGGCAGCTATATTGCTGCTAATGATGATGAAAACTGGTGATGTTCACATGAAGATGACATAATGGTGCTCCACAACTGGCGATCTTGAAATTCTTGGTGCTCTCGATGAAAAGCCTGCACGAAATACAAACAAGAACAAAAAAAACACAGATAAATTTGATGATGATCCTCCAGCTTGACGATATCCTCCCGCTCTGTGTTGAAGCTTTAAATAGGGCAAGCGATCTCCACACTTCGGTCTACTTGGGGCTGACTCCACTTTCGTCCACCGACGTAGACATTCGCCAACTCGCAAGAGCTCTCCAGCCTCTTAAGGGCATCAACTATGGAGTACTTAAGTAGAAGACACCGGGAAAATGTTCAAATAGCAGCCACCACCACTGTTCTTCTTTCTTCTCTATGCCTCAGGCCAGATACCACGTCAGCCTGTGACGTGGCACTGGCCAAGCGCCTCTGGATTCCGCGCGTATGTAAAGCGCTGTCATCTCTCCAATCCACCTCACCACAGAGCCCGCGCACCAGCGCCTCCCTCACGCCGACAACTTGCGGCATGCCACGTGTCAGACACTATTGCTATACACTTGCTGAGCCAGCGCCTCACCAGCTGTAAGTGGCCAGCGCCCCGCCCCTCACATGCTGCCAGCGCTTCGCTTCCCACTAGCAGCCAGCGCCAGCGCCCCGCAGCCATGAGGTGCCAGCGCCCCGCCTCCCCCAACCAGCCAGCACCGCCCCCACCAGCCCAACCAGCCAGCGTCGCCCCGCCTCCCCCAACCAGCCAGCACCGCCCCCACCAGCCCAACCAGCCAGCACCGCCCCCACCAGCGTTCAGCATAGCGTTGCCCGCCCGCCGCCATTGCCTAGCTGTCCGCCCGCCGCTCAGCGCTAACGTGCGGCCAGCGCCCCGCTTGCGGCATGCCACGTGTCAGACACTATTGCTATACACTTGTTGAGCCAGCGCCTCGCCAGCTGTAAGTGGCCAGCGCCCTGCCCCTCACATGCTGCCAGCGCTTCGCTTCCCACTAGCAGCCAGCGCCTCGCTGCTCGCAGAAAACCAGCGCCCCGCAGCCATGAGGTGCCAGCGCCCCGCCTCCCCCAACCAGCCAGCACCGGCCCCACCAGCTTTCAGCATAGCGCTGCCCTCACGCCGCCATCGCCTCTGCCCGTCCGCCGCTCAGCGCTAACGCGTGGCCAGCGCCCACCCAACCCAATCTTGGCTGGGGTCTACCCTTGCTGAAGTGGAAGTGTTCCTTGTTGTAGCTCCCCCTCCATCTCCATCCCACCAAGATGAAGAAGACGTGGTCAACTATTATGCAAATATTTGCGCAGTGTGTGAGGATGGTGAAATCAAAAGTGAGACGAGCCATATGTTGGATATCATGTGGGAGCTAGAGGAGGGACCGGATCCCCAGCTCGCAGCCTACATCCATTGGACACGGGCGGATGACATGATGGGAGAGAGTAAAGACCTCCTCACAACGGGTCGCGATCTACGCAACCTGTTGGAGGCAAGGCAGGGGAGG